ACAGCTTGTAAATTTTACAATAACTCTATAGTGTGTTTACTTCATCCAAAGCATCCAACCCCCTCTTACACAAACTGCCTTATTGTATGAAGCATGTTGCACAGCTGAGGCTGTCAGTCACCCTCTGTGTGCTGCCCTGGTTTCCATGCCCTGTTAGTGTGGGTACAGCAATGAAGTGGTGGATAATTAATACTGCCTGGGGAATGGGCTATATGGCTGGATAATTAATACTGCCTGGGAATGCAGATACTGTCATATTACCTTGAATGGGCAAAGAGACAGTGCCTCTTTAATCAAATTAGCAGTATGATCCAATACACTAATCAAATCCTCAGTGAAAAAAAAAGTGTAAAAATAAAGGCAAGTCCAAAGTGAAACACAATAGCCCACTGTTCGAAATTTTTGTGTAAAAATCAAACTTCTTGTGTGCTAGCCAGAGTTCCAAGTGAAGGCAGGCAGCACAGTGGCTAAATGGTTAGCACTTCTGCCTGGCAGTACTAGGGTCGTTGGTTCGTATCCCAACCATGGCACCACCTGCCTGGAGTTTGCATGTTCTCCCTGTTCCTGCGTGGGTTCCTCCAGATACTCAGGTTTCCTCCCACACTCCAAAGACATCCTGGTAGGTTAATTGGATCCTGCCTAAATTGGCCCTAGTATGTGTATGTATGAATGTGAGTTAGGGACCTTAGATTGTACGCTCCTTGAGGGTTAGGGACTGATGTGAATGTACAATAAATATATGTAAAGCACTGTGTAAAATTGTCAGTACTACATAAGTATGTGAAATAAATAAAAATAATGCAATGTGTCGGTGGAGGAGGTGATGTCACTATACAGTTGCAAGAAAAAGTATGTGAACCCCTTGGTTCCGTGGAATTTTGCATGAATTGGGCATAAAATGTGCTCTGAACGTCATCTAAGTCACAACAATAGAAGAACACAGTCTGCTGAACATAATACTACACAAACATTAGATGTTGCCATGGTTTAATTGCACATAACATGTAAACATACACAGTGCAGGGGAGGAAAAAGTATGTGAACCTTTGGACTTAATAACTGGTTGACCCTCCTTTGGCAGCAATAACCTCAACCCAACGTTTCCTGTAGTTGCAGATCAGACCTGCACAATGATCTGGAGTAGTTTTGGACCACTCCTCTTCACAAAAATGTTTCAGTGTAGCAATATTCTTGGGATGTCTGGTGTGAATCGCTCTCTTAAGGTCATGCCACAGCATTTCAGTCGGGTTGAGGTCAGGACTCTGACTGGGCCACTCCAGAAGGCGTATTCTGTGCTGTTGCAGCCATTGTTTTGTTGAATTACTTGTATGCTTTGAGTCATTGTCCTGTTGCATCACCCATCCTCTGCGGAGCTTCAGTTGGCGGACAGATGGTCGTACGTTTTCCTGCAAAATGTCTTGATAAACTCTGGAATTCATTTTCCCATCAATGACAACAATCCATCCAGGCCCTGAGGCAGCAAAGCAGCCCCAAACCATGATGCTCCCTCTGCCATGTTTTACAATGGGGATGAGGTTTTGATGTTGGTGTGCTGTACCTTTTTTTCTCCACACATAGTGTTGTGTGTTCTTCCCAAACAACTCAATCTTAGTTTCATCTGTCCACAGTATATTTTGCCAGTAGTGCTGTGGAACATCCAGGTGCTCTTTTGCAAACTTCAAACGTGCTGCAATATTCTTTTTGGACAGCAATGGCTTCCTCCGTGGTGTCCTCCCATGTACTCCATTCTTGTTTAATGTTTTCCTTATTGTAGATGTGTCAACAAAAATGTAAGCATGTGCCAGAGATTTCTGTAGGTCTTTAGCTGACACTCTGGGATTCTTCTTTACCTCATGCAGCATTCTGCGCTGTGCTCTTGCAGTCATTTTTACAGGACGACCACGCCTAGGGAGAGTAGCAACAGTGCTAAACTTTCTCCATTTGTAGACAGTCTGTCTTACTGTGGACACATGAGCATCAAGGCTTTTGGAGATACTTTTGTAACCCTTTCCAGCTTCATGCAAGTCAACAATTCTTGATCGTAGGTCTTCTGAGAGCTCTTTTCTGCGAGGTATGGTTCACATCAGACAGTGCTTCTTGAAACCAGTAAACCCAAAACAGGTGTGTGTTTTTTAAGGGCAAGACAGCTGTCAGCAACACATTCAATATCATCACACTGATTGGAGTCAAGGTTGGCTCACTCCTGACTCCAATTAGCTCTGGGAGAAGTCATTAAGCTAGGACCTCACATACTTTTTCCTCCCTGCACTGTGAATGTTTACATGTTATGTGCAATTAAACCATAGCAACATCTAATGTTTGTGTAGTATTATGTTCAGCAGACTGTGTTCTTCTATTGTTGTGACTTAGATGATGTTCAGAGCACATTTTATGCCCAATTCATGCAAAACTCCACGTAATCCCAATGGGTTCACATACTTTTTCTTGCAACTGTATATGCTACTGCATCCCTCTGCTGTCAGAGTCGGCATCTTGGCGGAGTGATTGCCTAATGCCATATTTGCTTCAGTCTACGTGAGTGCAATAACGGTTTTATCTTCTTTTAATAAATGGAGTTACACTCTCGCCTCTCTTCCTTGTCGTGCGTGTTAGTTTTAGCATTAGGAGTTCGGTGCTACGTTCGGGAGATGACAAGGACCTTTGTGCTTTAGCTCTCGGGGGGAATAATCCATTTTGATGATCTGTGCTTGGCTCTGTGAAGGAGAATATCTACCCTGGAGGATTCAATTTAAAGTACATATGACCTTTTTATGTTTAAGAGGTCTGTTCTAATGATGAGCTCTTCCACTAGAGGCAGTGCAGGACGATATGCACAGTTACATTTATGGAAACGTCTTTACTACTGGGAGTGTTAGAAAATGACTTCAAACAGTGGCTTTTGTTTTACACCGTGGATAAACTCATATCCTCTATCTCCGGCTGAAATAGTTTATTCTGGGAGTTGTCATTCAGAGGGTAGGCAGTCGCTGGAGATACGAACATCTACTAGTGTGTAAAATACAATAAGAAAAATCCTGTACTTTTTTGTGTAATCCTCAGAATTGTACAACATTTCTATTTTATTTCATTGGGTAAAATTATAAATATTCAACAAAAAAATCTGTCATGCCTTTTTCTCATATCCCACATTTCTTTATGTCTTATGAAAGGGCAGGCAATGCAAATGCTATAAATTGGTTTGTAATTATGTCAGTCAAATATATTCATTAATTTTTAATTAACAACCAGGTAGTAAACTGCTTGATGATGTGATTATTGAAAGGATGCAGAATATAGCACATAATTTAAAAAAATCACCTTGTCTCCAGGTTTGTAGCAGCTCTAAATTTTCACCAGACTTAATATAGACTTAATTAGATACATATATCTAGTACCTGGAAGGAGTGTAAAAAAAAGTCTGCGACTCCAGTACATTGTGACACTCAAATGATGGTTAGTCAGTATTAAAGCAAACTTGTGATTTTCCTTTTGGGTTTACTTTACCACCCCGGCTCTCCTCCTCAGCAGACCTTTTATTTACTCCCCCATTCCCTTTTGTGCTGATACCCAAAGAAGGATATACCTATGACGATCGCAGCGTCAGACCCCAGCCCTTCTCACCAAACTCGTGACGAAAGACTAGCTAATCTAAAACCGCGCTGTCACGTGCATAACAATGCCATGCCCAGCTGCACCCTGCACAAAGATTTTTCAGCTAATGGACAACAATCTGTGTACCTGCAGCCTGGGAGCGATTGTTACTGGGTCAGGTTAATTACGCAATTAACCCTTCACACTGCCACCACCTCCTTTTTGTACAGAGAAAGAGGAAACTCGGCAATATCAGCAATAACACTATGATGTTTTGAATAATCGTTTGTATACACAATGTCACTGCAGACAGATGTATGCAGACGTTTTAAAATACATAGTAGTGCTCTTCAAAGACAGGGGTTCTTAGTTTGCATTAAAGAGCTTTAGAAACAGTTCAACACTTTCAGAAAGTAAGATTTATTACTAAAAGGTCAAAAGGGTGCAATAAGAATATTTACAGAAAAAGATGTAGCCAATATATATATATATATATAAATATACAGAGAACAACAACACAGCAAAGAGATAACAGAAAGAAGTTCAGAGAGATAAAGTACTTGCCAAAAGTCCTGGGTTAAGCAGATCAAGTTTTCTGAGCAAAAGAGCCTTATCTCCCAAAGTTAGTTCCGATGTTAAAAGGGAGCAAGGGAGCTTGTTCAACTTCAGCTCAACTCAGCTTAGCTTAGCTGTCTCCTTGAAGCAGATAACCAATCGCCTCATTCGGGGAGGGTGTTGGGGCAGAGACCCCAGCTAGAACCAAAATCCCTCCCTGTTTATATCATGATCCATAACTTACCCCCGGTGCATGTAGCCACCTAGCCACTAGTAGATTAATATGCAGAATGATCTGCTGAACGTCTAGATATGAAATATGACATACCAGCGTGGGACAGTTAAGGAGATATCATTTTTTGCTCTCCTGTAGATGTCAGCTAGGGGGAGTAATATATCAGACGACTTGTATTAAAGTGACCGATCTGAATATATGCCTGGGCTCCTTGTAAGTCTTTCATATTCCAAGATATGAAATCATAGGGGAAAGGGGATTTTGAATGTGATGTCTGTTTTACGGCTTATCTGGAATGTCTTAGAAGCTCAATGAAGGACTTGGTTTATGGCTTTACGATATCTCAGATTGAGAAGCTAACAGACATCTGGGCGCCAACTAGTGTGGGATTTATAACCCTGGAGCTCTCCCGCTGAGCCTGATTGCCTGTGATCTCTCAAGTCCTGAGCTACTAGCCAGGCCTTAAAAGTTACTTGCCACCAACAAACACAAACAAAGACACCTGTACACACACACAGACATGTACACACACACACACACACACACACACACAGAAACATGTACACACATGCACAGAGACACATGTACACACACACACATACAGACACATGGATACACACACAGGCACGTACAGACACGCATACACACAGATACATGTACATACACAGAAATACACACGCACAGACACATGTACATGCACACAGACACATGTACACACAGACACATGAATGTACATACATACAAACACACACACATGTACATGCACACAGACACATGTACACACACACATACATGTACATACACGCAGATACATGTACAGATACACAGATGTACATACACACAGACATATGTATATGCATATACAGACACACACAAACACACACACACCACCCCCCCCCATAAAACGTTGCAGTACTTCGTTGTTCATTCACAGAGTCGGGTACTGCACTCTAGGGGGAGGCAGAGAGCACAGCACACACTCCTTCCTTTGCTTTCACTGCGCTCAGCTATTGAGCAGTCTGACGGCTCCCAGTTCCAATGACAGATCCGGCCTGAGCTCCGAGCCTGCTCAGCAAGACAGCCCTGGGGGACACACTCGCCCCCACCATAATTTCCACTTGCCATTGGCGAGCAGGCGAGTGGAAATTTCAAGGCCTGATACAGACCACATGTCTCCCAACAGAGAGGGAGGGGGGATTTGGAGGGAAGCTGATTTGGGAGTAGAAATGATACAAGATTGACAGTCTGCAGAAGGCAACGCATTCCAGGCTCACAAAGCAAAAAATAGTAAATGCACATTTATTTTTACCTGCAATAAAATATGCATTTATTATTTTTTGTGAAAAGGTAAACTTATCCTTTAACATGAGCATGTTGTGTTGCCCTGAATGGGGAAAGCACAGACAACTCCAGTATTGCATTAAATAACTATTTTCTGATTACGTTAACCTCCCACCACCACTCCACGCATATTTTCTTTAATATACCAAATGCATGTAACTCACCTGCTAACTTATGTAGGGTGGAACATGTAACATGTTCCCATAGCTATAGCTGCACCCACCCCCCCCATTCGACAGGTAAAATGGGGAGAAGTCTCCCCGTACTATCTGTCAAATTTGAAAACAGCGCGGCCGTGTGGTGCTCCACCCACACAGTCACGTCATTCATTCATGGCCTTCCATGAATGAATGAACTGCAAGTCCCGAGAGCCTTAGTGGCTGTCAGTTTGTAGTTTTCAATGAACTACCATGGTGCTGTGGCGTGCCGTGCTAATTTATCGAAGCTTTCTCTCAGAATATCTGCTTGGCCGTGTATCCCGTACAGCAAGCAGATATTCTGACAGGTCTGCAGGAGACCTGCATGGCATCAGCGATCTACTGATCTCTGGTGGAATGCTTCCCAGGCTCCTGTAGACAAAAATAATAAATGTAAATTTTTTTACGTGCAAAAAAATGTGCATTTATTATTTTTGTCTAAAAGATGGATTTATCCTTTAAGGTAAAAAAATATCCCCCCCTCCCTGAATATTTACCTGAGTTCCCTCGATCCAGCACTGTGCCTGTATGCTGAAGCTTGAGCCATTGGATCCTGCTTTTGTCAGTCAAATTTTCTGAAGATGGAGCCGAGCAGCACTGTGTCTGTCTTTTGGATTTTTAATCTTTTATTGAGCAAGGGAGGGTTCTAACCAGTGTCTGTTTTTTTGCCACCTGTGTCACAATGGGGAGATTCCCCTTGACTTCTTGTCCCATAGCCAAAACAGAAAGTGAAAGGAAAAGGAGAGTGAGAGGATCCCTGGTTGTCACTAGTGTCAACAAAATAGTGTCCCCAATGAACAATGTCCCCTCTACTATTGTTCTTGGGACTAAAAATGTGAGCCTTTCATTTTTGAGGATATTAAAGTGGAGCTCCACCCAAAAGGGAAAGCTCCACTTGTTTGCACCCTCCACTGCCACATTTTGCACTTTTTTGGGGATGAGCAGGTGGTTTTGACAGGTACCCGCTCCCACTTCCAGCTTAGTTCAGCCCCCTCCTTCCCCTCACAGTTTCTGGGACACTTCACAGGTTCCATAAGACTATGGGACCAATTACAAGGAGCAGCACGACCAGCGCATGTGCAATAGGAAACTGGACTTCACAAGGCTTCACATTTGTTTTCCCTTACTTGCACTGCCAGCGCCAAGAACCCGGAGGCTAATAAAGAACTAGCCCATCTGATGATGGCGCTGGACCCCTGGACAGGTATTTGTCCTGTTATTTAAAGTCAGCAGCTACAGTATTTGTAGCTGCTGACTTTTTAATTTTTTTGGGGGGGGAGTCTGGAACTCCTCTGTAAAATTTTCTATCAGTAGATGTCCGAATCTCATGTTTATGCTATCATTCAGATTATTCACATCACAGCCCCCTTTTTACATCACAGCTCCCTTTACTGCCACTTTTTATTTATTTATTTATTTCAGGTACTTATATAGCGCCGTCAATTTACGCAGCACTTTACATATATATTGTACATTCACATCAGTCCCTAACCCTCAAGGGGTGTACACTCTAAGGTCCCTAACTCACATTCATACACATACTAGGGCCAATTTAGATAGGAGCCAATTCACCTACCAGCATGTCTTTGGAGTTTGGGAGGAAACCGGAGTACCCGGAGGAAACCCACGCAGGCACAGGGAGAACATGCAAACTCCAGGCAGGTGGAGCCTTTTTAATTCTTTATTTAAAGCTTTTACCAATATACAAAATACGGTATGAGGATACCATTCAAAAACAAATCAACACATCTTCAGGGAAAACCCCCTGTACAAATAGTACTAAAAGAAAACAAAAAAAGTGGACAGACCAGGACACAGCGGTAGAGTTCAGGGAAATGTATCCGAATATATCAATCTACTGCAAGAGGATTCCCAACCACAGAAAAAGCAGGGGTCCCTCTTCTACCATTAGGGTGTGCCTTCCACTTGTATATGAAGCTATCATTCTGGGCGTCTAGAGTATGAAAAAAAGAAAAAAAAAAAAAGAGGTGGAGGGGAAGGGGAAGAGAGGGGGTGGGAAAAGTGCAAGCAGGGGCTTGACCCTAGGGGTCTAATACAATGGCTGTTGCAAGCAGAGTATGTACCTGTCAAGGCACCAAGAGGAGAGGCTATAAAAACTGGCCAAATGCAGGTGGCACATTACAGTGCTACTTTTAAATCACGGTACCCCTTCACATCGCAGTCCCCCGTTATATCACTGTCCCCTCTTTACATTGCAGTCCCCCCTTTACATAACAACCCTCATTTAAATCACATCCTCCCTTCAGATCACAATCACAGGTTAAGAGTGAAGGAAAATCCAAAGGCTGTCTAAGCAGACATTTTGGAGAAACGTCCTCTAACTTCCTGTTGGGTATACATTACAGGAAATGAAAAGAAAACTTCCCAAAGGAGAGACACAAGAAGTGTTTTATCGATTTCCATTTGGCCCCCATTCCAACTAAATTCACTGTGCTGTTCCGCTCGAAGCATGGGGATCTGCGCTCATGTGGACCTTCATAGTATGACTCTCAGCACACAGGTGCAGGATTAAAAGTACCCAGTGGGCAAGGTTTTTGGAGAAAGTCTGTGCTACGACAAGTGCAACAGCAAAATGAAGGTCCTTGGAACAGGGCCATAGTAAATGTTTGATTGGGTACACAGCACTCAGGAAAATGAAGGGAAGTCCTTAAAAATCAATTGTACAAAAGTAAAGTTGACCTTTAAATTAATAAAGCCCTTTGGTTTTAGTATTTTTGTATTGTTCCGAAATGTTGTATTCTTATTAGCTGCCCTGCTACAAAGCAACAATATTACATTGTTCTGTTGAACAGTTATTATGATTATTATTAATATTATTATTGTAAAATAACATACCTGTTCTACTACATGGGACTCTTGGGAACTCACCCTTTAATGATCCCTAAGGGGCATACTTGGGACACACTGCTCCACTGCATTCCTAACAAGGCAGATACACAGCTTGAGAGTATTAGACCAAGAAAGGAGCTCTTTTATGTGCTTGCATATAAGAAATTCTTTGTGAAATTACCCATGTTAACATTAATTAGCAGAGATCAGAAAATGATGCTGTTTGAAGAATGCATGAAATTATTATTTGGACGGTTCAGTACTAGAGGGCATATTAATCTAAATGAAAAATATGGCATATCGCAGCTTAGGAGCATAAAGAAAAACAGTAAAAGGTGGAATTTCAAACTTTTTAATTTTAAATCCTTTTTTAAGTTTCTGATTATTTGCAAGGATTCCTTTGTTACGTGTGTGTGCGTGTGTATACAATATAATATATATATATACATTGGAGCAAAAAAGTATTTAGTCAGCCACCAATTGTGCAAGTTCTCCCACTTAAAAAGATGAGAGAGGCCTGTAATTGGCATCATAGGTAGACCTCAACTATGAGAGAAAATGAGAAAAAAAATCCAGACAATCACATTGGCTGATTTGGAAAGAATTTATTTGCAAATTATGGTGGAAAATAAGTATTTGGTCACCTACAAACAAGCAAGATTTCTGGCTCTCACAGACCTGTACCTTCTTCTTTAAGAGGCTCCTCTGTCCTGCACTTATTACCTGTATCAATGGCACCTGTTTGAACTTGTTATCAGTATAAAAAGACACCTGTCCACAACCTCAAACAGTCACACTCCAACTCCACTATGGTGAAGACCAAAGAGCTGTCGAAGGACACCAGAAACAAAATTGTAGACCTGCACCAGGCTGGGAAGACTGAATCTGCAATAGGCAAGCAGCTTGGTGTGAACAAATCAACTGTGGGAGCAATACTTAGAAAATGGAAGACATACAAGACCACTGATAATCTCCCTCGATCTGGGGCTCCACGCAAGATCTCACCCCGTGGGGTCAAAATGATCACAAGAACGGTGAGCAAAAATCCCAGGACCACACGGGGGGACCTAGTGAATGACCTGTAGAGAGCTGGGACCAACGTAACAAAGGCTACCATCAGTAACATACTACGCCGCCAGGGACTCAGATCCTGCAGTGCCAGACGTGTCCCCCTGCTTAAGCCAGTACATGTCCGGGCCCGTCTGAAGTTTGCTAGAGAGCATTTGGATGATCCAGAAGAGGATTGGGAGAATATCATATGGTCAGATGAAACCAAAATAGAACTGTTTGGTAGAAACACACAACTCGTCGTGTTTGGAGGAGAGAGAATGCTGAGTTGCATCCAAAGAACACCATACCTACTGTGAAGCATGGGGGTGGAAACATCATGCTTTGGGGCTGTTTCTCCGCAAAGGGACCAGGACGACTGATCCATGTACAGGACAGAATGAATGGGGCCATGTATCGTGAGATTTTGAGTGCAAACCTCCTTCCATCAGCAAGGGCATTGAAGATGAAACGTGGCTGGGTCTTCCAACATGACAATGATCCCAAACATACCGCCCGGGGCAACGAAGGAGTGGCTTTGGAAGAAGCATTTCAAGGTCCTGGAGTGGCCTAGCCAGTC